AAACCTAGATATTTTAGGCAATATAGAAATCCTGGCCAGGACGCGTCCTGGGAAAATGGCACGTATGGTCACCCTAAGATACAACAACATAAACTGTTGAGATTAATATTTAATGGTGAATTCAGTGACGTTGTGATAAGAATTACAATGAAATCACAGTATCTGACACGATGCAGAATGAAATTTTAAGCATATTTCCTGTAAACTTAATTTACAATCACCCTCTGGGGCCAGAGTTGCCTATTATGTTAGTGTCCACAAGGGAGAAGCATTTGTTTCAGTTGATAGTTCCAAAGTCCCTTTAAGACAAGTCATTTCACTTGGCGGCCATCTTTGAAACGCCTCTCGGGCATGCAAGTGCAGCTCCTATCGCTTTGAATGGGGAAACATCAAATTCTCCAAAACTGTTCACTAAGCTTACGATTAAATTTCATATTTGAAAGAATTCAGTGACGTTGTGATAAGAATTACAATGAAATCACAGTATCTGACACGATGCAGAATGAAATTTTAAGCATATTTCCTGTAAACTTAATTTACAATCACCCTCTGGGGCCAGAGTTGCCCCACTATTATGTTAGTGTCCACAAGGGGGAAGCATTTATTTCAATGGATACTTCCAAATTAGCGTTAAAAAAAAAGCTTATTTTTCAGGCTAGACCAGCCAATGCACCTGCAAAGTCCTAAGTGCGCGTGTCCAGAACACTGACTATTTCTATATCAATGGGACTTCTAATGGCAGCTGCAGTGACGCAATGACTTTACCGAATAGCGATTGGCTCTTTTACTCAGAAGGCGGGGCTTTCTTCAATAGAGCAGCCATATTGAGCGTTGCATTTTTCCCCCATTCAAAACTATATGAGTGACACATCTTGCGTATTCTATAGTCTTTGATAGTACTCAGTGCAGCCTTCCTTCTTGATGAACTGTCACTCTACTGTCACCTTGGTAACAGTCAACACTCTGCCTGACTCTACATTTATTCATTTAGCAGACTCTTTTATCCAAAGTGACTTACAATTGAGGAATACAGCATGCAATTCAGGTGTGATGTGGGCCGTTTTGGGCTCGTTGAAAATCAGACCTGCTGCTGCATTGTACATGATGGAAGTCCAGCCAAAAGAGCATCGCAGTAGTCCAGACTAGAAATGACAAGGGCCTGAACAAGAAGTTGTTCAGCATGCTCTTTTAGGAAGGGCTTGATCATTCTGATGTTGTGCAATGCAAATCTACATGGTCAAGCTGTCTTTGCAATGTGGTCCTTGAAGGTCAGCTGATCATCAAAGATTACACCAAGATTTCTGACTGAACTTGAATGGGTAATTGTTGATTAACCTAGCTGGATGGTGAAATCATGCCGTAGAGTCAGAGTGGCAGGGAAGACTAGAAGCTCAGTCTTTGCCAGGTTGAGCTGAAGGTGATTTTCCTTCATCCATGCCGAGATGTCCGCCAGGCAGCCTGAGATCCGTACAGCTACCGTTGGATCGTCTGGTTGAAATGAAAGATAGAGCTGTGTGTCATCAGCATAGCAATGATAGAAGAAATCATGTACTTGTTTGATGGGATCCAGTGATGTATATGGAGAAGAGGAGGGGTCCAAGAACTGATCCCTGAGGAACCCCAGTGACCAGTTGATTTGCTTTGGATACCTCCCCTCCCCAGGCCACCCTGAAAGACCTACCTATGAGGTAGGATTCAAACCAATGAAATGCAGATCTTGTGATGCCCAGTGAAGAGAGGGTGTACAGGAAAATCTGATGATTTACAGCGTCAAAAGCAGCAGATAGATTCAGCAGAATGAGAACACATGATCTGGAATCAGCTTTCGCAATCCGCAGGGCTTCAGTGACCGACAGTAATGCAGTCTTAGTTGAATGGCTACTTCTGAAGGCTGCTTCTGAAACCTGATTGGTTAATGTCCAGCTGGTTATGGTGTGAAAGAAATAATGATGCCTGGTTGAAAACAACTCATTCAAGTGTTCTTGATATGAATGGAAGAAGAGAGACAGGTCTGTAGCTATCTACAGGTGAAGTGTTTAATGTAGTTTTTTTAGCAGTAGGGTTACCCGAGCCTGCTTGAATGCGGTGGGAAAAAATGCCTGTGAAAAGAGATGTGTTGATGATATGTGTGAGTGCTGGTAGGAGTGTAGAAGAGATAGCTTGGAGAAGGTGTGAGGGGATTGGATCTAGAGAGCTGGCTGTAAGAGGGTTTTTTTAGGATGGCTGGCAAAGAGAAATTTAGATACTTCTGCCTCAGTGAGGGGACAGAAGGAGGAGAGGGTAGTTTTAGCAGTGGATGTGGTTGGTTTGACAGGCTGTGTGTGTGGAGCTAAGAACTGTCTGCTGATGGTTTTAGTTTTGTCTGTGAAGAATGCAGCATAATCCTGAGCTGTTTAAGAGGTGGTGGAGGGGGACAGAGGAGGGAATTGAATGTTTTGAAGAGATTACATGTGTCTGAAGCGTTGTTGATCTTGTTGTAGAAATACAAAGATTTGGCAGCATGGACTTTAACAGAGAAAGATGATAACAAAGACTGATATATACTCAGGTCAGATGGATCTTTTGATTTGTGCCATTCTGTCTCTGCTGAACTGAGTTTGGTCTGATGTTCACGAAGAAGCAGTAGTAGATCAGCAGGGGTTGCTGCGCCTTCTGGACGAATCCAGGTCCCATTAAAGCCCGAGATACTAAGAGTAGACTGAGAAGCAATGGCTGTATTAAGTCATTAGGTGTCACTAGGTGCATAAGGTGCCCTTGAACAAGGCACCGAACCCCCGACTGCTCCCCGGGCGCTGCAGCATAAATGACTGCCCACTGCTCCGGGTGTGTGTTCACGGTGTGTGTGTGTTCACTGCTGTGTGTGTGCACTTAGGATGGGATAAATGCAGAGCACTAATCAAGGCCACATGTCACATCACATCACTTCACTTCACTTCATTGTTGACAGCTGACTGACAATTCCAGAGACCCACAGGAAAAAGAGACGGGTGCAGTAGAAGAGGTGTAGATAGGACGAAGGTTAGCAAGATTGCATTGCTGTCTGTGTTTGATGTTAGAGCATTGTTAAGAAAACACAGGAATGTATTGGAAACATGATAGATGTGGGAAAGAGAAGGTGTAAGTAGAGTGTGTGCGGAAAGAAAAATAAAGATACTTAAGTGCCTTGTCTGTGTCCTTGCCCAGTGGAGTCACACAGGTAGAGTCACAGGTCTTCCACGTCTGTGCACAGATTACAAATAAATGCACAGCTTATCAACTCTTGAGTGAATACAGCTGTGGATGCCTTAACAGTTAGCACACCAAAATGCTAATTACAAATATGTGCAATCAAAATACAAATTATAACAAAAGAAGTAAAATAGAAATAGTAAATGAAATAGCCTTCTTAACAGCAAATAAAAATCTAAACAACAGAAACAGAAACAAGGTATTAAGCAAACACTTACACGCTACCACCTACCTGACTCTGCTTGAGAGACAAGTAAAGATATACTTACCTGAGAGGATTTTTTTTTATATATCTCTGAAAACAATATTGTATTACTGAACAAAAATTTAGTCAATTATCAAAGAAAAAGAAAATAAATAGCCATATGGACTATTATAGGTGCTGTGATACTGTACTACTCAGATACTGTGATTTCCTTCCTCACGTCACTGATTTCACCATTAACTATTCACCTGAACAGTTTATGTTGTTGCATATGGTATCATTGTAATCCTTGACCATTAAAATATATGGGTAGACATCACCTTTTCTGTGTTATCATGTTTGATGCAGAAGATATGACACAAAATACATAGTTTGGTAATGGCGGAAAGTAAAATGGCTGCCATGGCAACCACGAGGTGTTTTTGCGATGGCTCCATTTCTGAAAATGTTCAGGGCCCCAAACTGTACAAGTGTACCAAGTTTCATGCTTTTATGAAAAAGTGAACATATCACCTCAAATTTTGCACGTATCACCTGGACTATTACGGCTGTTGGGAATAAAGTGAAAATAAAATAAAAAGTGTAGATTAAGGCATTAAATATATATATATATATATATATATGTCGCACCATATTTATTTTTATGCGTTTTTACAGTGTTGCACATTATGACAAATCTCACACAATTCTGTTAAGGTTATGAATGCAATGGCCAATCAGAGGCATTCTGATTAGACGTCGCTGAAACTCCGAAGTTTTGTTCAGTGCACACGCTCACTGACAACAAAGTGCAGATGTACGTATGATCCAAGTAAGAGATTTATTTCACAGTGTAGTGTAGACAGTGGCGGAGCTAAAGGTTTATATATGGGGTGGCCAGAAAAATGAAAATCAGTGTATAACTCCAGCCTGGCATAAAAAAGCATGAATAAATCCTACGATTGCTGATTACTTCACATTACCACACATTAGCTATACATTCCTACCGTAACTTCAAATGTTAGTCAATTGGAACTTGTTTCTCTTATTTCTATCATCTGATTAACCAGCGGTTGGAGCAAAAGATCTAACATTAACTTATACAGTGAATTGTTGTTCAGGAAACCTAAAACTTCAACTTACTTTTGAGTTCATCCTGTAGTGAGAACTATTTAGGAATAATTAACAAGCTTGCGATTAAGTACATGTTATTTTTTCTCAATTTCTCTAAACTAAACAATACAGGGAACCCTATTGTTAAGGTTAAAAGTATCAATTGATTAGTATACAAGTTCATATTAGACCATTTTATAATATTGTTATATTAACTTCAAGAGTAATTATGTGAGTAGAAATATAATAAATGTAATTTTTTGCAAAATTATCCTCTCTAGTGTACATTTTTCTCACTAGTTTATGGACACTGAATGGATTTTCTGAGGTTATGCGACAATGTTTTCAAGCTGCTGTATTTCCGCGGCTGAAACACTCATAAAGTGATTACATGAGACACTATACATTAAGTAAGTTGTAGTGTATCTTTCAACATGCCCTCGGATGTTCATTCATGTTTATTTCATGCTAATTACAGTAGAATGCACTCCTGCTTCGCTTGAACTGAAACTATTCAGTTCAGTAAAACTTGAACTAAAAATATTTTATAACATGACACCCATATCTGGGAATTACATCTGGAAAAACATTTTGAAAGTTAACTTAAAAAAAGCTACTGCTGATGTGATGTCATGTGAATAAGCGGCCATTCGCACCGAAACTGTTTGTGTTCAACCCCCGCGTTGTTTTTCAGTTATTATTTTATTTAGATTAGATTTGTTTTTTTTGTTTAGTTTTTTCGTGTTTTTTTTTGTTTTGTTTTTTTTTTTCATTTTCAGGGTTGAAAGCATTATTAATGTATCCAGAGACGCCTTCATTCATTTTAAAAAAAGTGTCTCTGTGCGTACACTCCTGCCAGGGGCCCCTGTTTGTGTTGAGTTTGTGTTGATGGTGTGTTGATATATTTGGTCTGTTTTCTTTCAGAATCTGATGATCAGAACTACAGAGTGTGTGCAGTTCACACACTGGTGCATAAACTACCTGACAAAAACAAAGAGATGCTGGAGATATTAATCGAACATCTACTCAAGTATGATTGAACATGTAGATTTATATTCATTTTTTACTGTTGAAAGGAAAACTTTACTCAAAAATTAAAACTCTTCTCTCCCTTAGCTCACTTTCTTCTTAGTCTCAAGTAATATGTTGTAGATTTATTTAGAGTGAAATGTTGTACATACAGTAAGATGGTTGGTCACCAGCATGTGTTGTGTTTTGGGTGCTGGCATCTTCACAAGACTTGAACTAGCTTAACCATGATCGAGGCGTTACTTGATCAATGTTCTTCACCACCTAAAATTTTAATGGTAAAAAGCATTGCCCACTAAATAGCAGTAGATTGCATTAAGCACCATAGTCTGGTCTGGTCCTTGCATGTAAGTTTACCTTGGTATCAGGTAGTTTTGTGGGGTAATTAAGTATTATTTGAAGTGTGATATTGGTTCGAGAATTTGACTGACATGTGTCCCTCCAGTGTGTCCACTCACAGTGAGAGTAACATGATGACCGTGTCCAATCTGGGAGTGATCTTTGGCCCTACGCTTATGCGCTCACAGGAGGAAACCGTTGCCGCCATGATGAACATCAAATTCCAAAACATCGTGGTAGAAATTCTCATTGAAAATTTTGAGAAGGCAAGTGAAAGCAAAGATAATGCACAACATACTCCTGTAAGAAATGATACATTCATACTGTATCTATATATGTCTATATTGACTACCGTTCAGAAGTTTTGGGGTTGGTAAGATTTTTTTTTATGTTTCTGAAAGAAGTCTCTTGTGCTCACCAAGGCTGTATTTATTTGATCAAAAACACAGAAAAAAAGGTCATATTGTGAAATATTATTACAATTTAAAAATAATTGTTTTCTAATATATTTTAAAATGTAATTTATTCCTGTGAAGGTAAAGCTGAATTTTCAGCGTCATTACGCCAGTCTTCAGTGTCACATGATCTTCAAAAATCATTCTAATATGATGATTTGCTGCTCAAGTAACATTTCTTAGTATTATCATCGTTGAAAATGGTTATTTTTGTGAAAACTGTGATACATTTTTTTCTTCCAGGATTCTTTGATGAATGGAAAGTTCAAAAGAGCAGCACTTATTGGAAATAGAAAACTTTTGTAACAATGTAAAAGACTTTACTGTCACTTTTAATCAACTTAATGCATCCATGCTGTATAAATGTATTATTAGTATTATTATTTTATTTTTGTCTTCACAGATATTTCATCAGGCGCCGGACCCTAATGTTCCCCTGCCGCAGCCTCAGTCTCGTCCGGGGTCTCGCAGGAGCAGAGCCATCTGCCTCTCATCTGGACCACGCAAACCCAAGAGCCTCTACACACCTTCAATGTGCCTGGCAGACGCGGAAAGTGAGTCTCACACGACCAGTCATCCTCATATTTCACATTCACTGCTGAGAGTACATCCTCTGGGTTTTAGATTTATGTTAGAAACCAGTAAATTTTAAATAATGTAAAAAATGTAATGAATTGAAGGTGTTATGTGTCTTCACAGCACATGTCCGTACTGTCCCTGCAGGTGACACGTTCAGCAGCAGTTCAGGCAGCACTCCAATCGGCAGCATGGACTCCCTCTCCTCCCACTCCTCAGAGCAGAACAGCTCCTCCAAAACCTGCTCCTCTCCAAAGCCCAAAGACAAGCCCCCTTTCCCCGGCCTGCGGTGGACCCCTTCCTCCCTGTCCTCCAGCGAGCCCCAGGGCCCCACCTGCACCAGCAGCCCAGACTCCAGCTCCAGAGAGGACACGGGCCATGTGGATTGGGATGACACCTGTAGGAAGAACTCCGGCTCAGCAGCTGCCAGATCTTCACCAGCACCCACAAAGGCTCCTCACTCTGAAATAGGAATGAAATCAGCACAGCTTAACCGCTCGAGTGCCCCATCTTTACACATCACAGAAGGTAGGGGCCAATAACATGCATTATTGGTTAAAAGTTTTAAGTTTAAGTAGTTTTTTGTACTTTTATGTTTAAAAGTAAAAACATTTTGCAGTATTATTTTTATAATGTATTTTATGGTCAAATAAATGCAGCCTTGCTGAGCTATTTTTTGTATTAGTAATATGCGTTGCTAAGGCCTTAATTTGGACAACTTTAAAGGTGATTTTCTCAAAAAAAAACTTTTTTTTTGCACCCTCAGATTACAGATTTTCAAATAGTTGTATCTCGGCCAAAAATTGTCCTATCCTAACAAACCCTTATGACTGGTTTTGTGGTCCATGATCACATATATATTCCAAATTTTGACCAGTAGTGTATGTCCTATTTTTTCCATTACAAAACTGTATTCAAATTTACTTAATTTTTTTCTATTATTTTATTGTATATTTTAATGTTGGTTTAAAACCTCTACACAAATCTACACAAAAAGAAACCAATTTAATTATTTTGTTCTTTTGTGTTTTGGACTCTCTGGAGGTCGTAAGAGCTCTGTGGGGTCTTTACAGAATCTAGCATGTGTGGTGCATAAAGACGGCATCAGATCCACAGCCTGCCATGATCTGCCACCTAAAACTATCCTGCGCCGAAAGCTGGACAACAACAGCTCTACCAACGGCTATCAGAGACCAGGATCAGTGTAAGTGAATCTCTCTAATCAGTATCCAACCCACTGATGCTAAAGCTGACATTTGATGAAAACCCAGCTCTGTATGTTCCTCTAGTATTCATTCCCAGATAAGAAGTCATCCAGTTTTGTTAGAAGTTAGAAAAAACTTGATATGTTTGGAGACCCTGTCTACCCTGTGACCAGGGTCGGCGCCAGAGCGCACAAAGTGAGGGGGCAGGCACAATTTATTGGGGGGGCTGCACTTTTTT